GCGATGGTGGTGTCATTTTTGCTCGCTCACAACGAACAAGGTGGTGGCGTACAGTCTTGTTCGCTGCGGGGTGATGGGGCGTGTCAGGAGGATGGATCTGGCGCGGCGCCAGCCATTCCTTTTCCTTTTTTCTTTCTACATGCACCTTCAACAACTGATGGAGAACGGGCTGGTGGCGCGCCAAAGTCAGCCGCGCTGACACGCCCATCATCTACAAGGAACAAGACTGTACATACTCGTTGTAAGCCTCGGAAAAACATGGCAGAGACAAATAGGCGTGCCATAGCCCGTTGCGTCACTGCAGCCCTCCATCTGCCTTTCTCAGTTATGTAATTCCAAGGTATCTAATCATTTGTGTGAGTTATTTTCCTTTCAGATAGCTCCTTACGTTACATCGATCTATCAGCGTTTTGCTCTCGGGTTATCGTGGCCTGGTGTAGGATTTTTAGCCAAGTATGAATCGATGGTGAAACACTTATCAAAGAATACTCCTCCATACTAGGTATCTAAAGTTTAACAGTTTTTTTTTCAAATTTTTATATTAATTGTTTGCCCATAATTATTTTATTAGGAATTTCTCATCAGAATATGAGTCAGCTTCGTTATTTCGGTGCTTCAGCCTAAAGCTGAATGGCACGATTTCATATCCTTTTGGTGTGAAACGACAAAAACCGTGCCGTTTTCGAAATGCGCAACTTAAACACGCTCATTAAGAGCAGAGAGTGGAGATAATAATCGCTTGGGGTGCCAACCATCAATCTGTATCCTTTTGAGCCAAAAATCTCTGTTGACGTATGCTTTTGGCGGAACTTAATACATTCTTAGTTTTTTGATGCATTGACGTAGGGGATCAGCCGCATTGAGGAGCTCGAAAAGATTCACGGAACTGTAGCAGAAACTAGTAGCATTAAGCAACCTTTGCTACTGATTTTATCTTCAGTAACTGGTAGCTTCATGTAATATTACCGAACACTTTTCTTCGCTGCAGAAGTTGGCGTTGCACTTTCAGCAGGACTGATCGAACTCTTGCTCTTCGGCCATGTGTTGCTATAAACGGACAGAGTTTTGGAATATCTGCTTGCACCTTATACCTTAAAGAGGTTCTACTATACTGGCGAAAAATTCGTCCACATAAGAACTTTTTAGAATTTCATGGAGTATTCTTCACTGCCATCAGGCCTTATCAAAATTACGAAAGAAAAACCAGTAATCTTCATCTATCTTCTGGGTAAATCAATGCTGCTCTTTGTTGAGATGACTGGAGGCTGTAACTCTAAGAAGTATTGTCTTACGATCTTGAGGTTATCATTAGCTTCAAAATCAATGTCAGAACCCCGCGCTCAATCAATTCGTAGATGTGCTTCCTCAAGGACACCAGTTTGCGAACTCGCAGATTCCAACCGTCAGACGACTTCAGTGACTGACGAGGGTGCTTCAGCCATCGAAAGTCCTGGTTCTGACACCTGCTCAGCTGGACCGCCTACCTAAAAACGTCCTCTTGACAGTTGACGCAGGGGCGCCCAGTTGTTGTCTGGTAGAGCGCCAGGTATAAATCCGTATTGTGTGTCCATTTTTGCTGACCACCCTAGTGCTCATGAGTAATCCAGCTCTCCTTTATTACCATTTTTTTTATTAGGAGTGCATATAGTCAAAAGCAACCCATCTCGCAAAGTATGACGCCTTCAATTCACAAATGATGTCGCATGGTGCAACGGCTCGTCAGACAGCGTGTTTTCGAAACCCCTATTCCGCACAAGACCCACTCGCACGCACTAGTTTTTGCAGTTGATCACTGTAACTGGTACGTTTGACAGTCTTGCTAGTCCAGTAAGTCCAAGTAGATAGTTTCGGTTCTGTTTGGGGACGAGGGGGGGGGGGCATTTTGCACTTTAACGGACTTCCATCGACGTGTCGACCCACCTACGAGCCTCCTTCTCCGCAGTTTGACACAGTCTTACCCATGATGGCCTATGCGCAGTCTTGCCTCCGCTCACAAGGGTTCCACAGGTTTCACCAGAGTGATACTTGCAAACGAGAACTAGTGAAGCAACGGAAAGTGCAAAATGCCCCCTCCCCTCCCCGTCGGTAGACTGCGCCGATAGTTTCTTTAGCATCTTACCAAACGTAGAGAGTTTATCTATTAGAGTTTTGGGTTCTGTCCCGGCTCTACGCCGTAGATTATCCAAACGACTTTTCGTTCACTTTTATCATAGAATATCCGGTGCCAAATCCGCGGAAAAATTCTTTCAGTCTGCAGTAAGAAAGTAAAGACACAGTGTTTGCACGCTCTTTTTTGTGTGTCAAAATAAATGTTCCAATTTCCGCGTGTAGGTCCTCATACACTTATGAGATGATAGTTGCACCATGCTCTTGAAGGTCAAAACGACTGCCGCAGAATTGTTTCGACAAAAACTCTTTAAATTTCGGATTTTTTTTGTCGACAAACTTCCTTCTGAACCTAGTATGTGAGAATTCAATCGCGACGTGACTTCGTAGCTTTGTTCGGATTTCGACGGGTATTCCCAGTATTCAGTCTCGACGTGACTTCGTAGCTTTGTTCGGATTTCGACGGGTATTTCCAGTATTCAGTCTCGACGTGACTTCGTAGCTTTGTTCGGATTTCGACGGGTATTTATCAGCCACATTTTAAGCAGCAAAGACACGCCTACGTTCATTGCTATGGTACCGCTGTGGCGAGATTGAGAGCATAGACTCGCTGAGATCAACAATTATATGACGACATTAGACATCAGATGCTCGTGTTTAAGTTTCCTCGTCGCTGACATTAATTGGCTGAAGTACCTTTGTGGTTTAGTTACCTTTGCTTCTACTAGAGTCGAGCTCCGTGGTATCCTCCAACAGATAACTTCGAACTGACATTTCAGATTTTCAATTATATTGTGTTCGTAGTTCCTTGTTTACTCAGGCATTTATGGTTATGGAAACAGGAAATCGCTGCTTCTCGATCCTATGCCATTGATCAGTTCTGCAGTTCTCGTAAGCCAAAAGGGGAGGAGAGTCGTGCTTGGTCGCTGTGGAAGGGGTCGTATTGAAACCGCCATTTCACACATCGCGATTCTGTATCCTGATTGCCAACCAAGTCTTATCTCGACGTAACCACTGCAAACAAAAAACGATAAAAAGGATAAAGGATAAAGTCTTCGCCGTTGATCAATCCTTGTGGGATGCGGCACGCATTCTACTTCCATTCAGAATCGTAGTGGCTTATTGAATGCGATGTGGCCTATACAATGACTTGCGGTGGCCAGCCGATGTACAAGTCAGTGTTTTATCCTCCCAGACGAATCTGGTACCAATTTACCGTCCCCGGAGGGTAGAAGGCTTGGTTGGCCTGGGCGGGAGTCGACCCGGGATTTGAACCCAGGGTCGCGCGAGTGGTGAGCGCGCCACTTGTCATCGCACCACCTCCTGCCCGCAAACAATTTCATGTTCTAAGAACTCTTCAGATAACTTTCAAATCTTTATCTTCCGAGGAATTGCTGATGCTATTTTATTGTTAAGGGCATTTTGGTGTGAATCACTCCAAGACATTCAAAGCCATGACGGACCAAACCTTTTCCCGCAGCGAAGAAGGTTTGCTCCTTCCCCCTTTCTTCCCTTCCTATGCGATCGTATCGCACTAAAATGCTTACATTACTGGTAATAGTGCCGAGTTTGCTCGTAGCGCCTTCCTCAAGCCTGAAAATGTTGTTAGGAGTCGGAGCATTGTACCCGACCACCCGCGGGAGTTGCACCACCCCAACTGGGCTGTCCCAACATTCCTAAATTTATTAACACAGATACAGAACACAGATACGCGTAGTGTTCATTCTGTGAGGGGTTAGACCTTGTCGTCTCGTCCCTCCAGGGCACGACTTGACATTCTCAGGAAAGTTCCTGTATACGACCCCTCCCCCTCTTCATCAATACCTACGATCTTATGCACTTTCTGTGAATTTTGTCATCGAGCAGAACGTGGAGGATATAGAAAACTCTCATCTTCTATCGGACTTAGTAACTCTGCGCGCGGCAACTAAGGTGGTACGGAGAGATTAACGCACATGAAACAGGAAAAGGCAACTACAGGAGAAAGCTTATCTTGAGGGGAGATACGACCCCCTCCCCACGCCACCGACAGTTGAATACGACCACCCTCTGTAGAGATTCCCCACGGCGAGCCATCCTGCAAATTTGTTCTCCTGTTCCCCATCATCGGGTTAAATTGTTCACTGTTTCGAATTCTCGTCCACTGCTGGGGGATTATAACAACAAAAAGATACATATAGATAGAGGATATAATCTAGGGCGTTTTCAAGGATTGTCCCCTTGTTTCTTCCCTAGTAAGTCAATCAGAATCCACGATTTGCATCTCACCTCTCAATAGCAGCTGCGGAATGTGCCATTCATTGATATTTGACTCCAAAAACTCGCTCTTGAAACCATGAAGCTCCTCCAGACGCCCCAAGGAATTAGGATTAATTTTGGG